AACAGTAGTACATTATCTTGCAAGACCCTTCCATTGTTAACATTCTCTTCACGACTGAGATCTGCAGCTCTGGGTGTTCCCAGTGACTATGACTTTGTGAGCACTGTTCACTGAACAGCTTGGCCTAACAAAGACAAATTTACGACTTTCTTTAAAACAAAAGATTATGTAAGTCTCATCAATAAATAATATATCTAACTCAGTAACATGCCTCTTACCAAGTGATATATCAAAGAAAAGTGTATTAGTTACCTATTGCTACGTAACAAATTTCCACAGATGTGGCAGCTTAAAACAGCACCCAACTATTATCTCAGTTTCTGTGGACCTGGAACCTAGGAGTGTCTTATCTGGGTCCTCTGTTTCAGGCTCTGTCATATGGGTGCATTCGTGGTGTTGGCCAGGTCTCGAGTCTTATCTGAAGGCTTGCCTAGGAAAGGATCCACTTCCAGCCTCATGTGATTGTTGGAAGAATTTCAGTTCCTTAAGGGTGGAGGGCCTCAGTTCCTAGCTGGCTGTTGGCCAGAGGCCAGGCTCAAGTCCTTGCCATGTAGACCTACCCAACATGGCAACTTGCTTCATGAGAACTGGTAAGGGAGAGCATCTGCTAGTGAGAGAGGAGTCACAGTCTTATGTACCCTAATGATGGAAGTGACATCCCATTACCTTCTGTTGGTTGTAAGCAAGTCACTAGGCCAACTCACACTCAAGGGGAGGAGGTTACGCAGGGCATGAATAGCAGGAGGTGGGGTCATTGGGGGCCATCTGAAAGCCTGCCTGTCACAAAAATTCTTCCCCCCACCCCGCCCCATGGAAGAAGAGTTTTAAATCCTGAGCTTCTCTGATATACTTAAAGGTTAGTTTGTCAGAAATAAAAAGTGACAACTAAATGCAGTGTGGGATCCTAAATGGAGATCTTGGTGATGTTTGAATAGGATCCTTACTTTAGTACCAGTGTTAATTTCCTGGTTCTGATAATTACACTGTAGCTATGTAAGATGTTTGCTTTGGGGGAGCCTGGATAAAGGCTATATGGAAACTTTCTGTATTGTTTTTATAACTTTTCTGTAAGTCTCTAAAAGTAGTTTAAAGTAAAAAGTTAGATAAAATTAGCTACAGGGATATATTGCACAACATGGGAAATATAGCAAATATTTTATAATAACTATAAATGGAGTATAACCTTTAAAAGTGTGAATCACTATATTGTACACCTGTAACTTACATAAAATTATACATCAACTGTACTTCAATAAAAAAAGTAAAAAGTTAGAAAAATGATTTATAAAACATAAAAATCCATTAGCTATTATATAAGCCTACTGTGTGGCTGTAACTTATTCAATAATTTTAACTTTATGTCTTTATCAGAACCGTTTTGCTGATAAAAATCTATAAATTTGTGGGGGAGGGGAATGGGGAGATGTTGGTCAAAGGGTACAATAAGGAAAAAAATCTAATTTTTTGTAAATAAATAGAGAAATTTTAGTAGATAAATTTGCTTAAAATTGTATACGTAAAAATGTAAAATAGATAGCTAGTGGGGAGCAGCTGCATAGCACATGGAGATCAGCTTGGTGCTCTGTGACCACCTAGAAGGGTGGGATAGGGAGGGTGGGAGGGAGATGCAAGAGGGAGGAGATATAGGGATGTATGTATACCTATAGCTGATTCACTTTGTTATACAGCAGAAACTAACACACCATTGTAAAGCAATTATACTCCAATAAAGATGTGAAAAAAAATAATTTTAAAATAAACATCTTTGTCTACAAAAAAAATTATATAGGTAAAATTTACAATTTTTTTGTAGATAAATAATTTGAGTAGCCTTCCTAGTGAAAATCCCCTAGAAACCTCACTATTACTGTATAATAGAATTCTTTATATTTGTTCCTATGTATTTGTTTCAACACATAATTACAGAGGTGAGGAAAGAATTTTCGGCTTAAGCTTGAGTTGAAATGTTGTAGGGACTTTTGCACAACCCCAAATGAACTTCACACATCACTTAAAGTAACCATCTTTCCTAAAATAGTACCCTGGTAGCCCAGACTGGCCCCTCCACTGTGCTGAGCACTGTTTTCAAGATGTCAGTCTGCTTGTTGCTTGGATATCAGCACTTATATTTCAAAATAGTGTGGTCTGTCTCACGGCACCGTTCCGCGTGATGAAAAGCAAAATGCTTCAATCCCTCGTAGGCACTTGAATTTCATGCAAAGCAAGAACAAATGGCTCTTCATTCTGCTCAGTGTTTGAAAGGGCTGCTGGTTATTAATACTCTATCACTATTTCACATGTCCTCGTCCAGCAGTTTAAAGCCTATGGGTCTTGGTTGGTTACACCTCTTTAAGAGAGCTATTTGGAAACACTCTAGACATTTTTCTTAGGCCCTATTTTTAGAATGGAAAGCCTAATGGTATTTTAATGTCTCTCTATATTCCCAGAACAAGTCTCGAGAAAAAAAATGTTACCTTTTGAAATTTAGCAAAGCTGGTGGGATTATCACCGCTCCTCTGAGAAGCATTGTGTTAAGGAATGAATTTTGATTTACAGATCCAGCAAGCAATCTTCTAATGATGCCAGAAACCTCTGGGAGGGTTAAGTGTCCATCTATTAGTATGTACTACTCTGTGTTATCTTCCTCTCTTTTCTTTGAAAGTCTCATTGTGATCTGCTCACTTGGGGAACGTAGTTTTGATTGTAGGAAGGGAAGCAAAGGTTGAGCAAGTAATGCTCTTGTGGAGGTGGCTGACCAGGTGGGGTGCTGGAGTGGCGTTGGACAGGATGGTGTCAGTACCCAGGTCAGGGACTAGGTGGCAAGGAAGAATGCTGAAGCCAAGCCTAGCTTATCTTGCAGCTTTGTTGTGGGCTGTCTCACACCTGGAAAAGAAAGAGAAATGCCTTCACCCTTTCCTAGTGTTCCTTAGCCCCTTAGGCAAATACTGACTCATTGAAGGTTAACTAGGAGTTTGTAGAGTAAAGGGAGAACCCCAACCACTGTGTCTATGGTTGGTCCACGGGAAAGTACATATCAAGTTTCGAACTAACCTTGAGCTATGCTTTTGGAGCATACATTCCTAAAGTGAGGACTCACGTGTAATAGAGTAGTTAATAGTCCTTGAATCAGTCTGCCTGGGTTCAAATGCTGGCTGTGATACTCACTACCTCAGTGATCTTGGACAAGTCTCTTATATTTCCTGTGCTTCAGTTTCCTTTTGCGTGTATTAGGGATGATAGTAATGGTATCTGTGGTACAGTACAGTGCTGTAGTGAGAAAGAAATGAGTTAATGCATGTGTAGTAGCGCTTAGAGCCTAGCGAAGTATGAGTATCTGCATAGGAATTCTGTGTTCTCCACATTCCTCAACCATGATCCCCAGTTTCATTTGAGAAAATATAGTCTCTAACGTCTTTGGAATAAGATCTAGGAAAGGAAATCTTTTTAAAAAATGTTATTTAAGTGATACTTTCCATCCTATGAACATCTAATATATTTCCTGAATGGCAGTCAGGTGTCCTCTTTACACTGAAACACTTGCCTGGACTAATTCATATTTTATGTTCTAAAGCGAATTCTTTCAAATGCAAAACATCTTTCTACATCTTCACTAACAAATTTAGCTACATATTAATGTAGTCATGTGAATATCAGGATTCTAAAAGATACCCAGTTTTAAGGCGAGTTTCTGAGAAGGTCAAAAGTGTTTGTATCTGAATGTAACTGTTGAGTACCCCTTTCTCACATTTTCATATAACAAGATCTCACTCTCAAGATTCTTTCACAGACTCAATCACTTCTATTTTAACTCAGTGACTGGCGCATCCCATTATGTTTCTGTGATCTATAGAAATTTGAATGGGGAATTATAATTACGCTTTAAAGTTCTTAAAGCCTAATTATTAGATCCTTATATGAGAATAGATGATATGCAACAGTAGATAAAGCGTGGATTGAAAGTTAAAACATCTGGATTCTCTTCCCGCTTCTTCCATTAGGAAGCTATGTGTGTCTCAGAATTTCCCTGAAGTTATCTTAAATGGAGGATTTGAATGAGGTGTTGTTTAAGGTTTCTTACAGATCTGATACTGTATGATTCTGCAATAGCTTATTGACCCTACATTTGTGAAGTGTGTGCTTTGCTTTGACTGACATGTATATTTTCTTTCCCAGTTTTCTTAAAATCATTTGAGATGCCTTTGCTAGATGACCAGCCAGGGTGAGAGATGCAGTCTATAGCTGCAAAGTAGAAAAAGCCACCTGGGTCTGCAAGAGAACAAGTCCGTGGCCTTGACATTGCAGCATCCCTGTCCCCAGACACAGAGCTGCAGATCCAGGAGTGTTTGATTGAATGTCAGATGAATAAAGACAAACTCCAGGGCATCATTACTTTACTGCTAATGGACAGTTGTTTGTGTTTTTCTATTTTGCAGAAGATAACATAGAAATGAAAAGATAAATAACTGTACAGGTTTTCAGAGTTGCCATTTGTTTGTATAATATTTTCCTTTCCAGGGAGGCAGTGGAGGCTTAGGAACAGCTTTCTCTCTGGCTGCCTCTCAGAGGTACTTTGAATTTCTCAAAGGGATGATAAAGAAATGAGATTAACCTATTTTGTGACCTACTTCTGCCTTTCCATTTTGGGGGCATTCATTTGCATGTTAATTTACTCCTTTTGATAGTAAGTAGAGCTCTGTCTTGGTTGACAGGTTTACTTTAGCATAAGAAATCTCAAAAAAAAAGTCATTTGGGATAAATGCTTCCACAAGAGACAGTTAGATGTTGTGTTATGGAACTAGCTTATTCCCTCTAGAATCATGACAGTAGGGTGGCTGAAATCCTTGTTATAGTGTTGAAGGTGGAAGTTCAAGTTGTTGACTGTAGTAAATATAAATTAAGATAATATTGCAGCACTGGTGGACAACTTTTCTTTAGCTTAATTATTATTTTGAGAAATAGTCTGTAAAAACATTAATTTTCACCTTTCTCTTTTCTTCTAGTCATGGACTCCTGCCCTGTAGGTCCTTCTGTGAGTCTGCAAAAGAGGGCTGTGAATCAGTCCTGGGGATGGTGAATGCCTCCTGGCCCGAATTCCTCAAATGCTCCCAGTTTAGAAACCAAAGTGAAAACAACAATGTCAGCAGGATTTGCTTCTCACCACAGCAGGAAAAAGAAAAGCAATGTAGGTGTCTGCATTTTGTTGCATTTTTTAAAGTTTTTTATTGAAGTATACCATCCATGAAAGGAATTATACAAATAATGTGTACAGTACAACAAATTTTAACAAAGTGACCAGACCCATGTAACCAGGACCCAGATCAAGAAATAGAATATTAACAGCATCCCAGAAACACAAGCCCCCTCCCAGTGACCTGATCCTCCCAAAAGAGACCTCTATGCAGACTTCTATCAGCTTAGGTAATTCTGCCAACTTCTGAACTTGATATCAATCGAATCGTACAGTATGCATGCCTTTTGTGTTGAACTTCATTTGCTCAACATTATGTTTGAGAGGTTCACTGTATTTTCATCTTCTTGTGGTTCATTCATTCTCATTTTTATGGTATTCTAATGTATTTTCCATCACAGTATATTTTTCTGTTCTACTGTTGATAGACATTTGAGTTGTTTCCAGCTACTGTGAATGGTGATGCCGTGACTATTCTTGTACATGTCTTTGATGGAACATGGTTATGTATTTGTTCAGCAAAAAAGTTTTTTAAAGTGGTTGTTTCAATTTATACTTCTCCCAGCTGCGGGTGAAAGTTGCAGTTGCTTCAGATCCTCCCCAACACTTGGTATTGCCAGTCTTTTTCATTTTAGCAATTCTGATGATAGTATTGTGGTATCTCTTTGCATTTTAAGTTGAATTTTCCTAATGAATTGGATTGAATTTTCAAAATGTTTTGGTTACTTAAATATCCTTTTCTGTGAAGTGCAAGAAACTTAAGTGCAAGTGTCAAAATATTTTGCCCATTTTTTTTTTTTTTGCGGTACGCGGGCCTCTCACTGTTGTGGCCTCTCCCGTTGCGGAGCACAGGCTCCGGACGCGCAGGCTCAGCGGCCATGGCTCACGGGCCCAGCCGCTCCGCGGCATGTGGGATCTTCCCGGACCGGGGCACGAACCCGCGTCCCCTGCATCGGCAGGCGGACTCTCAACCACTGCTCCACCAGGGAAGCCCTTGCCCATTTTTGATTGGGTAGTTTGTCTTTTTATTCTCGACTTGTGGTTCTTTAGGCATTCTGGATATAAGTCATCTGTTGGATATAGGTACTGTCTGTGTGGCTTGCCTTTCCTTTCTTTTATTATGTCTGTTATGGAATAGAAGGTTTTAATTTTAATGGGTCTACATTATCAAGATTTTCTGATCCTCAGTTTTCTAGACTCTCCTGGTACAGTATGTAAGAACCTCTTTCTAAATTATGAGGAAGGCCCTTTGGCTTTCACACATGAGTTACAGTTGCCTGGAGCTTTGAGTTATCTTTTTCTAGGAAATTGAGCTTAGCTGAAAGCCATCCAAGTCACTGTCCTTATAGTTACTTCTCAAACACTTGGTAAATTACCCCATTCAGTGCATTCCTTTCCATAGGTGGACTATTCCAATTCACCTCTATTAAGGGTTTTAGCAATTGGACCACCCCCTTATACCAGGGCCTGTCTATCTCTACCTTCCATCAATGATGGCAACTTCGCTGCCATCCCAACAGTGAGTAATCCAGATTAATAACCCCATCGTATCCCCTGCTTTCTTGGACCACTTCTGCAGCTGTCACAAGCTGGGTCTTCCAGAAGCAGCCACTGAGATGGGGTTTGTTGTACAGGGTATTTATTAAGTATCAGCACTTGTAAAGGAGGGAGAGAAAGCAGGATTGGGTAGAGGTAGAAGTTGAAATGTGATCCAGGCACACTGAAGCTTGGCTAAATCCACGGGGAGCTCTGGGGCACATGTGGCCTGAGGGAGTTGTTCCACGTTGGGTCCAGACAGCCGGGTCTTTATATCCCCACAATCAGCCACTGGTTGTGGTCCTTCCTGGGAAGGGTGTGCCCTTGGGTGAGGCAGCTCTCTGCAGTTGAGGCTAAACTTGAAGGATCTAAAGGCTGTTGGCTGACAGCAGGGGGCAACAGGGCAGACACGTAGAGTGGGAACAGACCACTTTGATCCAGTCAGAGACTGAGCTGGTTTTGCTTGTTGTTTATAAGGAGTGTTGGTAAGGCTCCATCTCTCTCTGGTTTGTTTCCATTCTGAGGGTGCACTTCTCCAGTGAGCCTTACTGCGAAACCAAGGTGTTTACTGCATTCTGCTCCTCCTTGGCGGTCCCTAGTGGTAATGTTTTCCTTCTCAGAATAAGATTGCTGGATTTCCACTCGGCTTTGCAGAGGTTTTCTACCCTTTAGTTTCTTGCTCTTTACCGTAAATGCCTTGAGGGGAAATCCTTCCGTGTGACAGGCCCACTTCTCTGTGTCTCCGTCCCCACTACGTCCTTGGCCCATTGATACCCTGCTCCTCTGGCAGCACCAAAACTCTGACTTTTGTCTCTCCACCCCCCTGGGATTGCCGAAAGCTCTACTGGCTTCTCTCCCTCTTTGAAGTGGCCCTGTGTCCAGGTTCTCAGTTTCTAGCACCATGCCAAGAATTGGCAAGATCCAAGGGGAAAAAACATCCATAGAATGTAGACTGTTTGTTCTACACTTGTCTTCTCTCTGGGGTCTCAGCCACTTACCTCCTGATGGTCGCATCAGCTATCAGAGGCCTTTGAACAGATGTTTCTTGTGCTTTATCTGGCTTTTCTACTTTTACTTGATGGGGGTTGGCACTGACTTATCACAGGTTACTACCTCCTAGCCAAAAGTAGAAGTTTGTTTAATTTCTTGTTCACACACTGTTTAGTGGAGGTCTGCTGCTAAATTACGATTCCCTCCAAAAGATTGTATATAGCACTAAGCCACCAGAAGGATGAGTGAGTGTATCTGAAAGAGAAGCCCCTTGATTCTTTTCTTTTTCAGCTACATTTGCCCCTGTTTTGATAAGAACACTTTATTAGTGCTCATTTGGAAAATGTTGCCTGCTGATACAGGATTTAAGAATCCACTGAGAAAATTTGAAAATAAAAAACATCATCAGTATTCCTTAACACGATGGTCCAAAAGTATCAGTTCTTAAAGATCAAAGTAACATCAGTATTCTTTAATAGCGCCAGATGAAATGCCACCTCACATAGGTTCCCCAAATATCAGAAGATAGTACAAATCTTCTGATCTTGGAAAAGATTGATGACTTTGGAAAAGATCTTAGAAGATTGATGAAACATTTATATTAAAAAACTTACGTTTTAAGAGAACAGACATTTCCTAAGTACACTCATCTGAGATTCTCTATTTGTCAGTCTTTTTTTATAATTCTTGATTGTACTATATTTTCCCATGTAGAATTAATTCTCTGAAAATGGGTCTGATAATTGGTGTTTGATGCAATATTTTCCTAGAATTTGAAATAATTTTTCTGTCTCATGCTTGATGGATAAGCAGGATGCTGACCATCATAGATGTATTCATAGGTCATGTGCTAGGGAGAAAGCTACTGTTAGCTGTGATCTTTGTGTAAGCATAAGAATATAATTTCTAGGGACTTCCCTGGTAGTCCAGTGGTTAAGACTCTGCGCTTCCACTGCAGGGGGCATGGGTTCGATCCCTGGTCGGGGAACTAAGATCCTACATGCCACACAGCACAGCCAAAAAAAAAAAAATATATATATATATATATATATATTATAATATCATCTTAATCATATAAGGGTTTATGCTGTAGGGCCAGTTATGAATATAACTAATGAAGTCCTTTTCTCATTTTTTCATTTATTCAGTAAATATTCATTGAGTACCTACTCAGTTCTGAGCATTATTCCAGGTAATCTGAAAAAATTAATTACAATGACCATAATATTGGTTTACATCCATCTAGTGTGGATGGATGACTGTTATTATGTCTGTTATGGAATGACTTTGCAGCCTTTGACTTTGCAGAGATGACTTTGCAGCCTCCACCTGGGAACATTTGGCAATGTCTATGAACATTTTGGTTGTCACAACTCTGGGGACAGAAAGAGTTGCTACTGGCATTTAGCAGGTAGAGACCCACTGTGCTGTTAAACATCCTGCAATGCACAGGGCAGCTTCCCACAGCAAAAATCTGTGTGGTCCCAAATGTCAATAGTGCTGCTTTTGAGAAACCCTGGTTTGGGCTTGATGCTTTGCAAGGTACTTTCTAGTAGTAGTAGTAATAATAATAATAGTAATACCTATCATGCTTCCTACCTTTAAGGAGTGTTAAACCTAATCTGGTATACCTATATGTGAGAAACAACGTAAAAAGAACATTAGTGACTCCATCCAAACACGCTGTCAGACAGAAACTATAGAGGAACACAGGTTAATTGTCAATGGAGCAGAAGTAGAGTCAGTCACATAAAGGAGTTCTGGATGTGTGAAAGAGGAAGGGTCCCACTTGGCACAGAGGAAGCGGAGAGGTGTTCTGGGGTAGGCATTCAGCACTGTGAACCTGTGTTGGGTGACAGGTGCCAACTTAGCCCATGAAACAAATGATTATTAAAAGTTGACTCCCATCTTAGTCTTCTCCTTCCAGCTTGTCAAATCATTTGCCCCAAGAAAACAGTAACCCCCTTTTACATTATGGACCCCATTCTCCTTTCCAAAGTGCTTTCACAGCTGTTCGCTCACTTTGCTTCCAGAGTAAATCTCTGAGGTATGATCATCTTCATTTTATAAATTAGGAAACTGAGGTTCAGGAAGATAATTTCAAAGTTGTTTAAAATCAGTCCCCCTGGCTCTGTCTTCATCCTGGGACCATCCTGGGATTCAATTCTTAATCCTTGAATGCTACCCTCTGTTACAGCCCCCTTCTCACAAGAGTTTTCAAAATGTCTTTTCAGACTGAGTCAAGCCAAAACTCACAACTTTGTAACAGCTGCTTTTCCCAGCTCACAGCTCTGTAAATTCAATTCATCTTCTCATAGCATCTTTTAAATCAGTCATAACTCCAAAGATATTTTGTTTTCATACAGAAGGATACCCAGTCGTCTTATCCTTTCTATCTTATATTGATGCCAGCTCCTGTAAAGTAAATAATGTGCTAATGTGATAGTGCTGTGGGAACTATTCTTCAG